GGAGAGAAAGAGAAAGGGGGGGGTGAGAAAGGAGAGGGGGTGAGAGAAATTAGGAGGGAGGGAGAGATATTAGGAGGGGGGAAAGAGAAATTAGGGTGGGGAGAGAAATTGAAATTAGGAGGGGGGGAGAGAAATTGAAATTAGGAGGGGGGAAGAGATATTAGGAGGGGGGAAAGAGAAATTAGGGGGGGAGAGAAATTAGGAGGGGGGTGAGAAAGGAGGTGGGGGGGGAGAAAGAAATTGGGAGGAGGAGAAGGAAATTGGAGCGGGAGGAGAGATTGACATTCATCACACACACATACACACAATGCACCCCTTGCACACAGAAAAACACACAATGCATTACACACACACACATACACAAGCAATGCAACCGTTACACACAATGCATCCCTTACACACACAGAAACACACAATGCATTCATTACACACACTCAATGCACCCCTTACACACATTCAATGCATCCCATACATACACAGAAACACACCTTGCAGCCCTTACACATACAAACACAATTTCACACAATGCATTCCTTACACACATATCAGGACATCCCCTACACACTCCACCCCCTGTGAACAAACTCATTGGTGGAACATGAAGGTGGACCCTGGGACCCAGACCTTGAGCTGTGTAAAGGACCCCCAAAAAATGGAGCTGCTTCCCGTTCTCCCAGAACATTGATTTTTGTGACCACAGTTACAAACCGCCTCCAGAGAGCCTGTTCTACACCAGACCAGTGGAGCCAGACTGCAGCTAGAGCCCATCATCATCCTCATCTGGTTGTAAGTAGGCAATCTAGTATATTATTCATGGCACTAAGCTCTAATTTACCTCACATTAAAGAAACACTATAGTCCCCAGAACCACTTCAGCTTAATGTAGTGGTTCTGGTGTCTATAGCCTGTCCCTGCAGGCCTTTTAATGTAAACACGGCGGCACTGCAGCACTGGCGTTAGTTAACATGGCAAATCATATGGGTGGGGCATTGTGATGTCACATGGGGGGGCGGCAAACTTTACTTTTGCCTAGGGCGGCAAAAATCCTTGCACCGGCCCTGGCTGGAGGGGGCTGTGTGAGCTGTGGCCGCACAGTGTCCCATGGTAGTTAGGGTGCCGTGCGGCCAGTACAGCTCACACAAGCAAACAGCTGATAAACTGGCCGCACGGAGGAAATGTGTATGTGTGACCGTCTGCCTGTGACTGAATGTGACTGTCTGCCTGTAACTGAGTGTGTGACTGTCTGCCTGTAAATGTGTGTGTGGGGCTGCAGGGATTTTGTAGAAGGGGGCGGGGGTTTTGTATTGGGACAGGAGTCTTTATAAGGGGGGATAACCAGAGGATTTGTGGAAGGGGGTTGCGGGGGTTTTGTAGACGAGGCAGTACAGGATTTGTAGAAGGGACGGGACAGGACAGAGGTTTTGAAGGAGGGGCTGACAGCGGTTTTGCAAAGTTTACAAACCTTACAGGTTTTTTGTTTTTTGGGGGGTGGGTGCCAAGCACAGGATCCGCCCCGGGTGCCAAATGCTCTAGGTACGCCCCTGCTTCCATCTCTGGGGCTGGTTGGGACGTATGTGGTACAGTACCAAGGTCCCCTGATAACAGGCTTGGTTGCTGGGGAGGAGGAACTAAACTCAATGCATTCTGTGGTATACAGTCAATAAGTCCCATCATGTCAGAGACAGGTGGCGTTTTACGTTGGAATAGGCAAACATAATCCTGTTCTAGTTCCCACTCCTGGTTGGCAAGAAAAGATAGATCTGTCTGAATGGCATCGATCTCCGTAAAGTCCCAGTTGTCTGCCCGCTCAGCTCGGATGGACCAGAAGTGAGCAATGTCGGTGTCTCCGAACCAGAGACTAGTTTCAATAGTATCCCACAACAAACCAGGGCCATCGTAGTCTTCCCCCTCAATACACTTGTACTCAGCCATGGGTAGAGGTGGTAAGCATGCCACCGCAGGGCCCGATAGGAATCATCCAGCCACACCTCAGTCTCAACTAGTGTCTCCAGTTCGCTTACCCATTCCTCTGAGGGCTGGTTTCCATCCGCAGCTCTAGTTGTTCTGCTTGGCGCTGGTTAGTGGTCAGAATTTCCTCGCACCATAACCACTTAAAAAGTAAATAAATTACAATATTTGTATGATGTCCCTTAAATAGTAATATAATGGAGTATAAGGGGGGGGAGAAGGGGTATCAGCTGTTGCAAACAGCACTGAGTATAGTGGGGGATATCAGCTGATACAAACAGCACCGGGTATAATGGGGGATATCAGCTGATACAAACAGCACAGAGTATAATGGGGGGATATCAGCCATTATAAACAGCACCGAGCATAATGGGGGGATATCAGCCGTTACAAACAGCACTGAGTATAATGGGATGGATATCAGCCGTTACAATGGTTTGTGTAACGAACGCTGATATTGCAAATACCCGTTCACCTGTTTCCTCCCGAACTGCTAGAGGTGGAGTGATTATAGCTTGCAGTTGTTGATTCGAACGTGTTGATTCTAACAAATCCACAAACGGTTCCCCTGGCTCATAGGGAGAGTTTGTTCCCCTAGTTCGTGGGTACAAACCTACCGAATAGCGCTGGTCAGCGAAAGGAAGCAGGCGTTCGGGAAGTCGAGTGTCCGATTTTAGTTCCAGACATTCGATGACTAAGTCCTGCTGCCTCCTTTCATGCGAAAAAGAGAGAGTACTTAACTTGCGGTTTGCTTTGTAGTTAATGAGCCAGAGGGGTGGTCGGTGTTCAGTAGTTTTATCTACCGAACAAGGAAAATCAAAAGGTAATGAAACAAAAGGTGTAGTTTCTTCACATTGCTCCCCCCTAGTTCCATGGGTCGGCACACCCGCTTAGACCCTGCCGGGTTGGCATGGGGATGTCCGGGGAAGTCAGTCAAGGTTCCAACTCCGTTTGTCGTGATAAACCATCCGCATTGCCATTCTGTTTGCTTGGCCTGTACTGCATGGTGAAATTGTAGTGTTGCAGGGCCAGGCTCCAGCGTAACAAACAGGGATTGTCTCCAGCAACTCCATATAACCAAATAAGGGGGTTATGATAAGCCATTAGCATAAAGGGCCGACCATAAATGTATGGCTGCAATTTCTTCAATGCCCACACAAGAGAAGCATTTCTTCACCACAGTGGCAAAACGGACCTCTCCAGGTATTAGTTTCCAGCTGAGGTATGCCACCGGGTGCTCCATCCCGTCGTCCCCCACTTGGCTCAACACGGCTCCCAGCCCAAACATGGAGGCATCTGTGTGGACAAGAAACATATTAGTATGGTTTGGGGCAGCCAACACAGGTGCCTCGCTCAGTGCCGTGTTGAGTTGCTGGAAAGAGGCCACACTCCGGGGACCAGGCTACCTATCTGGGAAGGGACTTTTTGGTGCGGTCGGTGAGAGGTTTGGCCAGGGCACTGTACTCGGGGAAAAACTTGCGGTAGGAGCCCGCTGTTACTAGGAGCGCTAGTACCTGTGTCTTGGTATGGGGTTGTGGCTAGTCAGCAATAGCTTCTACCTTGGCAGGTTCAGGTCGCTGTTTGCCAAAAACTAACTGTGACGGACCGCCTGGCACTCTGACTGGGTACCTCCACCAATCGATGCTTCCTAGCTGACACTGAGGACTCACCGGACACCACAAGCACCGTAGACCCCACAAAGTCTATTCGCGGTTTTGGTCCATGTGAACAAGATGGCTGCCACCTAGTGGTCGAATGGCACTTCAAATGGCTTCTGGAGTTCGAAGTGCCGCTTCAAAAGTTCGAGTTGTGGCCATACAAGTACAAAAAGGCACACACAGTGGTTTTAACCAGGATTTAACACAGGGGCCATAGTCACAGGGCAAGAGGCTGGCAAGTATGCCCCTCCAAGAACCCGTGACAAGGTCCAGTTCGTCACACTACCCTATGACCAAGATACTGTACCTCGGCCATACCGACAGGACACTTATCAGGCTTCAGAGTGAGCCCCGCAGCCTGGATTAGCTTCAATACCCTAGATAAGTGCTCCAGATGATCTTCCCATGTGCGGCTGTAGATGGCAATATCATTCAAATACGCGCATGCGAATCCCTCCAGGAACGTATCGGCCATCCTCTGAAAGGTAGTCAGGGGGATTTGCCAATATCCTTTGCATAAATCTAGGGTAGTCAAGTAATACGATCTAGTAACTCGTCTATCCTGGGCATGGGGTAGGTGTCTGTTACTGTCCTGTCGTTAAGCTTCCGGTAGTCGATACAGAAGCGAGTTGTGCGTCTCGCTTGGGTACCAGCACTATCAGTAAAGCCCAAGGACTCAGAGGGTTCGATACCTCCCAGCTTTAACATTTCCTGGATCTCTGCTAACATATTCTCTCTAACTGCCTCAGGGATAAGGTATGGTTGCTGCCGCAGCGGAGGTGTACCCGGGTACGGCGGAGAATACCTCCCTGTAGCACCTAGTCCGTACTAGAGGATGATGAGAACAAGTCAGTGTGACAAACTGCGCTTTTTACCTGGGTTTGCCACGATCTCCTGGAGGAGCCTGCTTGCCAGCCTCCTGCTTACTAGGGATCGACCGATATTGATTTTTTAGAGCCGATACCAATAACTTGTGAACTTTCAGGCCGATAGCCGATAACTTGCCGATATTCTGTACATTTACCATTTTGAAAAATTAAACTATTTCTAAAAGGTAAATGCACAAAATATACATGCCACATGTAGTGGATGCAGTGTGTTTAGACAGGGGAGCGGTGTGTGTTTATGTAATGTGTATATATAGTGAATGCAGTGTGTGTAGTGTGCGTAAAGTGAATGCAGAGAGTGTGTGTGTGTGTATATATATATATATATATATAATGAATGCAGAGTGTGTGTGTGTGTTTGCATTCATTATATACACACACACTATACAGAGTGTGTGTGTTTGTATAGTTTGTGTATATAATGAATGCAAAGTGTGCGTGTTTGTATAGTGTGTGTAAATAATGAATGCAGAGTGTGCGTGTTTGTATAGTGTGTGTAAATAATGAATGCAGAGTGTACGTGTAGTGTGTGAATATAATGAATGCAGAGTGTGCGTGTGTATAATGAATGCAGAGTGTGTGTGGGTATATGTGTTTCTGAAGGGATGTAATTTGTGTAAAATGGGGAGTAGGGGGGCATTTTTTATTTTAATTTTTAATATTTATATGTTTTATTTTTTTGTCCCCCCTCCCTGCTTGTTGCCTGGCCGGGGAGGGGGGATATGACAGTCCCTGGTGGTCCGGTGGCATGGACTGTGCAGCGGAGGCCCGCAGCAAGCTGTTACTTACCTTCCCAGCAGCTCCCCTGTGTAAATGTCGCGGTCTGTGTGCCGCACGGAGTGTTGCCATGGTAGCACGTGGCAACGCTCTGACAGCCGCGGAACTTGCGAGATTTACACAGGGAGCTGCTGGGAATGTTAGTACCAGCTTGCTGTGGGCCCCCAAGGCTTGTAATGGGCCCGGCGATCCTGGTCTGCATTATCGGCAATATCGGTATCTCTATTTGCCGATACCGCCGAAAATACCGAATATCTGCCAATAATATCGGTAAAACTGATAATCGGTCAATCACTACTGCTTACCCTGTGAAAAATAATGTAAAAGTCTCTGTTCGTGCAATTGGGTTTGTTTACCGAACAACCGCACCAACCAGAGACCACCCTGGAGTTTGTTAACATCTCCCTAGGAAAACCCACCCTACTAAAAAAATGTTACCATGGCCTCGGCCACGGTCTCTGCCTCTATATTAGAAAGAGCTATAGCCTTAGTGTACCTATCCTCACCACCGTGAGGATATAGTTCTTCCCCGAGGTGCTGGGTTTACCGAGGGGGCCTACCAGATCTACTGCTACTCGGTGGAAGTGTTCTTCGATGATGGGTAAAGGGTGTAACTTGGCCTTCTGACGATCACCCTTTTCCCTGTCTTTTGGCAGGTGTCACTCGTCCTGTGTAATCCCCGGCCAAAAGATGGTCTGGGTTAACCTGTCCTTAGTCTTCCGGACTCCCAGATGTCCTGCTAGAGAAATATCATGGCGGAATATCGTGGCTGAGCTTGAGTAGCTCTGCCCTAAATTTACAGGGTACTACCAACTACCTTTTTGCCATCTGTGCAGCCCCCTCACCTGTTCCCCCTGTAACCCTTGTCCCACTCAAATCTCTGCCTCCTTCCTATATCCCTCTATGTGTGGGATCAGCCCTCTGTTCTTGTTCAAAGCCTTGTGGGGTACCCCAGAATGGGGGGCGGGGTGGGGGGGGGGAAAATCGGTTAAGGGAGGGACAAAAGATCCTACCTGAGGTTCCTCAGAGTGCACTGGCTCCCCCCTGCGTTCTTGCAATCTCATGGTCACTGGGTATGATTCCACTGGGTAGGTGTGTGTGAGCTGGGAGGTTAGACAACCCAAGTCATTCCCCAATAAAACCTCGGCTGGTAGCTCATTCATTATGCCCACCTTCAGGTGTTTGTCTCCCGAACCCCAGTTGAGGTGCACCCGGGCAGTGGGAAGGTAATGGATGGCTCCTCCTGCCACCCTTACTGCTACTGTCTTGTGGGTGTATCAAAGTGAGGGAGGTGCCTGTGTCTCTCAGGCCCTGTGCGTCCATTCTGTTAATGGTGACCCAGTGGCAATGATGCTCTCTGTTGTCGCCTGCAGCCTGGACTGGATTTGCCTTGTGTAGAGTCGTCCACTGCTCCTCGCTAAGGTCTGTATAACTGGAGGCCTCCTGGTGGAAACAATGGGCGGCTGGTCTTTCCCAACCTCCTCTGTTCCGTTTAGGGTAGTTGTTCTTCATATGCACGGGCAATTGTGGCATACAAAGGGAGGACGCCTTGTGGGTGCTGGAGAAGGTGCTGGGTGTAAAGGAGCCGGTCTGGGGTCTGGTGGTGTGGACTGTACAGGGTATGAGGGCCTGAAAGTGGGTAGCCCTCTGCTGGGTTCTAGTCGTCTGCCGTCCTGGTACTCGTCCCCCAATTTAGCTGCTTCCTCCACTGTCTTTGGTTTATGGCCCCTCACCCAGTTGGAGTGTGAGTGTGATCAAAGCACTGCTATGAATAGCTGCAATAGTTGCCCTGCATCCGTGCAGCCCGGTATAGGCGGAATGCCCATTCGGAATAGGAGTCTCTTCCTCCTTTTCTGAGGCCCCAAAATTTTCTCCTGTACGCCTCTGGTGTGACCGCATATCTGTGCAACAATATCTCCTTTACCTTTTCATAGTTCTGTATCTCCTCATCAGATACCGCTCTATAAGCCTCGGCTGCCCGTCCTGAGAGTTTGCTGCGAAGAACTGCAGCCCAATTAGTCTTTTCTAGCCCCTCCAAAGCACACTGACGCTCAAAGTCCTGCAGATAGCTGTCG